CTATATTTCTTGCGCCCAGGGCTACCTTGTTGGCCACTCACATATTGTTCTGTTTGCAATGTTCTGATGCTCACGCTGAATCAATGAACCTCCAGATATTAGAGTGTTGTGCAGATATTTGCATTTCGAATCCACGATGTCCCGCTTTAATAAAATTATTTGTCTTCAGAAGATGGCGTTTTTCTCCTTCGTGACAGTTCCACGTTTCTAGAGAGAAGCATGGCATTCGGTGTCCAATGCGTCGTTGAGCGCATCCAATCCAGCAGTCCTCACAGTAATCAATCACGCCTTGTGCTTCCTCGGGCATGTTATCACCGCTACCGCTAAGAACCTCAAATGCGTATATCACATCTTCTGTTGGAACAAAGGCCAACGCAGACAACAATCGCATTTTCATTGCAGATTCGACGTTAATTTCGTACTTTCTTGAAGATCCTCCGCTTGAATCCTTCATAGTATACACTGCGAGAAATGGAAGAAACATGCTCGATGCCTAGCCCTTGGAAATTCTAGACGAATAGCACTGACTATAGCAGGTTCTAAATCAGTCATAATTGTTTCTAGAGAGGCATCCGGCTGAAGCTGTTTTAGCTGTTGTAATAACGCAACATTAGTGCCTTCTGTCTTGCTTGGTAATAGAGCATCCAAAAGTAGAATTGATCTGTCCACCTGAATACCATGGAGTCTGTAGAGTTGGTAAAACAAATGAGGCACTGTTTTAAAAGTTCCGTCCCCAAACCTAGACGTCAATAAGCGGATATTTCTTGCGGTGGAAAATATAACTACTCTATCTTCCGTCGGTGCTCAATCAAACAGGAACAACGGTTCACCTTCTTTAGTTATCTTGTACTCCCCAGGAAATACGCAAATTTTCTGTCGGGTACTAGGCAAAGCTGGTGTTGCTCCTTTCCTTATACTGATGTTTTGTATCTTTCTTTTAATGCTATTGGCCTTCGCAACATCCACAGACACCGGCGGATTGGACACCTGGGATTGTAGTACCTATGTTAAAGACAGCAAATCACATGTAGTTCTCCAATTATAAGGGCATTGCGTTATTGAGTCTCTCAGGTAATGTCTACGCAAAGGTGCTAGAAAGGAGGTGCCGCGGCAAGAACAGCAGTGTGGCTTCCGGCCCGGACGAAGCATCACTGATCATATATTTGCCCTACACTAGATTGTTGAAAAATCGTGGTAGTAAGCCCGTCCGGTGCACGTGTTTTGTTGACCTAGGATAAACATGTGACCGGATCCCACGCATCAGTCTGTGGTCATGCTTTAAAGCATGCGGGTAGATGGCCAGCTGCTGATGACTATCCAATCACTGTACTCTGATAGCAGGTGCTCCGTGAGAGTAAACGGCGTTAAGTCGAAACCCTTCAACGATAGAACTGGTCTCCGCCAAGGCTACGACCTGTCTGCTCTCCTGTTTGCGCTGTACATGGATAGAATAGTCAGTAGCAGCCATCGCGATGAGTGTGTCGACATTGGAGATGTCGAGAGGAGAATGTTGTTGCTTGAAGACGACCTTGTTTTGTTGGCATCGTCTAAAGCCGACCTATGGTGGCCGGCATGCCTGTGAATGTTTCTCGTTGTCCTGATCGTTTCTCTCTTCAGATAAACGGAGAAGCAGTGACGACGTTCAAATACCTCAAGGTTGTGTTTACTGGCACTTGAAAATACGAGGAAGAGATCAGACGGTGAATTGAAATGGGCATCTGCATGAAGTAGCCCGAACCATTGTAATTAAGGTGGAACTGAGTCTGAAGATTGAGTACTCTCTATTTAAGTCAGTGTTCATCCCGAAGCTCACGTATGTCATGAGACCTGGTCCATGACTGAAAAACATCAATCCCTGGTATAAGAGACTGAGATAGATTTTCTGCGACGAATCTCTAGGCTCACGCGTTCTGACATGTTTCAGAGTACAGATATTGGAGAGAGTCTCTGACGTAGAGTCGCTACTTTTGCAGATTCAGAAGTCACAACTGCGTATGCTTTGTGAAAGGAAAGCGAAATAGCTACTCTTTGCCCAACTGACAGGCCATAGAATTCGGAAAAATAGCCTTCGGCAATTGTACGGAGGGATTCTGCTCAAGACTAGGTTATCTTCTGCCGAAGCTCAAACGTTGATGCATCATAGGGAACGTTGGAGACACTGACTGACCAATTTGTTTCCGGGAAATGAAAGGATAGGCGGTTATCGAAACCAACTGATGATCTGCCTGCCAGCGTTCGATTTGACAGAGCTCTTCCATCGCATTTTGTTTACAAATACGGTAATTAATTTTCATGTACACTCTTTCCACCGTTTTCCCCGACTTCAATGTAGATTTCACGTTCTTATGCCGGACAGTAAAAGCGTGAGATCTTATTTGCGGAAGTAACAGATATTTCTCCATTTCCTGTATTGCTTCAATTTCTGTTACCACGACGGGCTTTGCCTTTGGC